CCATCTCCACACAGAGTGGAGAGCACTTTCATTTATTATTTACAACTTCTGATGTGCCATTGTGATTGTGTGGACTTATTAACCTCATTGCTTCTAATGCATTTGACCTGTCTGTTCTGTAAGTGGGAATGGGAACAACAGTTTCAGAATGAATAGAGATTTTCTAACCATCAGAAATCTGAATCATACTTTCTTTGGAATTTTTATAATAATACATTAAAATAATGTAGGTTGCCAAAACATTTTCTGGTTAGTAAATCAATTTATAATTATATTTTCACACAAATGTTGACTCCCTGTCAAATGGCTCCGGTTCATATACAGCTAGTAATAACCACACAGGTTGTCATATTAATTGAGTTTTGAGTTGGTGATTTGATCTTCAGATGATCATTAATATTTTACCTCTTAAACCAGCAAAGGTGCTTGGTACCATAGTTGGTAGCACTGCTGCCTCACAGGCTCCAATCACACATATGTGGGTTTTTCCTCAGGTACCCCAGTTTCTTCCCAAACACATGCATGTTAGATTACCGTAAATCCTACAGGCCGGGTCTCCAATTTTGGCCGGTGTCGGAGTCAGCGGAGGTGAATAATGGCCGGTCTCTTATTGTGGCCGGGTGGAATGTGGTAACAAGCGTCCCAGCGGCAGGGTTATAGTCCCCAAATCAACCAGCAGGAGGCAGTAGAGGTTCACGCAGACCTTTATTAGGCTTATTCTTCAATGCTTTGTAACGCTACAGACACGATCCTCTATCACGCTCCTACCACACAGAGTCACGGTGTCAGTTAACCATGCTAATTCAACCCACTCCACAGAACACACATCACCTTCCCTGTGGCTCACATAAAACTCACACAACACGCAAATCAACACATAGGAACCAGCAGAACGATAGGAAACACATATAACACAATACCCAGAATGCACCTGGCTTACAACTATCAAGTTCAAAGAGAACGTGCTGATTATGCTGCAGAACACTCTGGAGAGCAGCAGTAGGGGTTGTATGAACTAGTCAACTTCACTATAGTGACTTTTTATGCCTGTCGTCGACTAGTCGCTGTCACGTGATAATGACCGGCAAGATGCAGCCCTCGAAAAAGACAGCAGCCTGCTGTCAGCAGGTGACAAGCTCCTGCGCTCGGGGGGTGGGGGGGCAACGCGCTGTGCCAGACCGTAGGTACTGACACGCAATCGTTCATGTCGGTTCATTTCCTTTAATGTTTTCTGTCTTTTATTTGCGCCTGATGCGTTTCGCTGCTGTGGAGCGGGGCGCATCACCTTGTCCTCCGACGCACAGATCACTGATGCGGCCGCCAAGCAGGGAGCGCTCCGCTGTTTTTGCGGTCGGTAGATCTTTTAGAACTGCAGTTCAAAGGTAACTCATGAGGTGAATATATATGAACCCAGGTAGCAGTTTTTCTTTAGGATTGAGAGGAGATGCAGGAAGATAATAAACAGACAGGACAGAAAAATAGTCAAATAAAAACAAGTTAGTTTTTGTACCTGCTGGTTGCAACAAACATACACCATTGAAGGTAATCAGAAGTGAGGAACAGAATATGAAATAATTATTTTAATGTTTAGAGCAGCAGGAACTCCGAGAGGCTGCAGGCGCATCAGTGAGTTTGCAGCCATTGCGCAGGGGGAGGGGGGAGAGGGCTGAAGCAGGGGGAGGGGGGAGAGGGCTGAAGCAGAAACTACCGTTGTTAAAAGAAATGTGTTTAACTTTGAAAATGTGGGCTCAATTTTAATTGTCAAAAACTCCAGCGAACCATTAGTTCATTTTGCTCAAATAGAAATAGAGGCCTGCCTCTAATACTGGCCCTCCTTCCATTAAAGGCCTGGAGCTTGATGAGCTTGAGTCAAATACAGGCCCGGGCCTGTATTAGAGGATTTACGGTAATTGTAATTCGCTCTGAATAAAAGCTAGCCAGTCAAGTCATCCTATATATGTTACTATAAAGTCTGGCCATGACCCATTGATGGATTTAGGGCAGCAGTAGCTCAAGATGTCGAGTTGTGGGTTGTCCAGTTATCGTCAGGTTGCAGGTTCGATCCCATCTCTGGACAGAGAATTCTGCTGTTGTGTCCTTGGGCAAGACACAACTTGCTTGCTGGTGGTGGTCTGAGGTATCGGTGGCGCCAGTGTTCTGCAGTCTCGCCTCTGTCAGTATGCCCCAGGGCAGCTGTGGCTACATTGTAGCTCATCACCATCAATGTGTGAATGTGTGTGTGAATGGATGAATGATATACTGTAGTGTGAAACGCTTTGGAGTCCTCTGACTCTGAAAGGTGCTAAAGAAGTGCGGGTCATTAATCATCTCAGTCGTGGGGCAGAATCTACGCTTGTCTTTCAAACTGCATGGAACTGCAACGAACAACGTGACGTACTCACTGCTACAGATGTCAGTCAACAGGGCAGTCCGCATTACACTGTTGAAAAAGACGTAAATGCATCCTTTTTCTGAATAACGGACTTAATTACCTCTGTCTGCTATTGACTCAAAGAAAGTCCCAAGTCTAAATAGTGCAAAGTTAATGCCAAAGCCGTTTCAAACAAACCATTGCCGTTTTAGTTTTGCTCAATCGCAGTAATATCATCCCAACAAACCGATATAGTGCTGTGATTGTCCAATAAACATAAAGTACTGTTCAGGTCGCTCTCTTGCTTAAAGGTGAATGTCTGTCAGAATCAATAATCTTTCAAACTAAACAGGTTTTTCTCAACACCTAGGCAGTGTTAACCAACGCTGAGGATTCGATCAATTGTGATCAAGTACCCAGCAGTCCCCACAGCCTGCAACCACCTCCAAGACTCACTGTGGAGTTGCCATTAAACCTTTTATTGAATCTGTAATTTATCTGTTCATCACTATCTGATAACAAAAGAAAAGTAGTCCTCTTTCACCATATTACTCCTGTATGTACTTCAGCTATCAGGATTATTTCATTTCATTTATTTATTAGATCCCCATTAGCTGCTGCTTCGTACATCAACTACGAGATTAGACGGAGTGTGTTATAGGGAGCCTTTTAGCCTAAGTCTCCTCCTTTTCCAACCGGCCCATGGGTCCCTGGAAGAACGAAAAATGAATGCAAGTCAATGAAAAACTTGCATGAAGTTGCATTAAGAGCCAAGCATTTTTGCTTTCTCACTAGCCTGGCCAAAAAGAGCTATTTTTGAATCTGCTTAGCCTTACGCTCTGAGTCGCACATATGTTGTACTTCAATTTAAATGAAAACTAATGATGCGTGTTTCGAACATGCCTGTCATGTATTTTGAGGTTTATCTTGTAAAAAAACAATAATTCCTATAACTACAAATCAGACGTGGATACATCACCAAATAATCTCCTTTGCCATAGCGTAGCTGCTACTTACCATTTATGATGGTTCTTTTCTTCCTGAAATGAAGGATTCAAAGTTAGCTAAATTTACAGCCATTTGTCCTCTGCTCTTCTCCGTGTCTGGTTCAGTGACGCCAATTTGGTGATGCCCATTTGTAGTCCTGGACATTTTCACACCAAACCTAATATAACTTTTACCCCCTTTGAAAATAAGCACTTTCGTGGAATCAGAAAATGTCTTAAAAATTCACGGACATCATATGTGAAAGCCATGGCTCAAAACAAATGGGATTAGAAAATAGCATTTTTTTTGTTCTTTTTATTTATTTTTTGTTAAATCTGATTTTCTTTCTTTTTGCTGCTGTTAACCAAGAGCAAATTAATTTGCACAACTTGCTGCTTTAATAGTTTTGCTAGCCTTTTAACACTTTGCTGAATAACTACAGACCGAAGCTTTAGAATACATAATCTCAGTTTTAGTTTAATTTAGATATTTACATCAAAAGGCCATTCTGACAAACCTGCATTTGAAGGAGCTTTTTGTCTCTGTGAGGTTGATTCTATCCTCTGTAAACTAGGGCTGTAGCGACGCCTCGATGACGTCGACGGCTCGATTCTAAAAATTTGTCGACGTCAGATCCGGTAGTCGATGCACCGCGCCCACTTGTTGCATCCCCAGGAGTTTGTAAATAGAGGAGGAATCTGCCTGTTTTTCCTCTAGTTCGCCCTCTTCTCCGCCTTCACTGACATCTCCACCAAATGCCGAAGACCCGGAATAATGTCCGTCCGCTACTAGATTCCTTTCCTGTTTTGCCCGCCTTCGTCTCCCGGCAACGGACAACAACGTCCGGGGTCAGATGCACTGCTCCGTCTCTACCGCAGATGTAGAACATCACCGGGAGCGTTTCTCCCTTCATAAAGGAGCTTCTTTCAGACATTAGGAGAGCTGTTTTGGTGGTAGCAGTCTCTCCTCCGTGCTGGTCTGTTTGCTGCTGGGTGTTTTTGGTTTATTTAAACTTGGTAACTTGAACTTAACGTTGGTAAAGCTACTGTTAGCATCTTCGCTAACAGCTTCTTGCGTTTGGATAAGCTGTTACGTTTTGGTTTAGAGTTCATCTTTTTTTGTGGTGCAGATCTCCCTTTTATTACATTTAGAGTGTTGTGGGTTTTCGGTTTAGTTTAAAATATCACCTTTAGTTTGGTCTAACCGCCCAGTTTAGAGTTTGGACCTTTGGAGATTCTTATTTTGGTCCAGAACCCAGTAATCTTTGCCCAGTGGGACATCCCTACTTATTTGTACTTTTGTTTTAATTCTCCACAGGCAGAATTAGTTTTATTATTCCCAACCTGTGGATGGAAAGATTTATGTTTTTTTGTAGTTGTAAATAAACCTGATCATCATTTTAACTTTTAAATCACGTTATTGTCCCTTCCTTTTTCCACACGAGCCAAACTCCCCAGGAAGGGTCGTAACACCACTCGCCTCACGCACATAAGTGACCAAAACAAAGCAGCATGGAGACACTCCATCTCCAACCACCTCTCAGGCAGCAGCCTGCACTCCCAAGTTCTACACGTCACCAGAACATAACACAATAAAAGCAGTGTTATACAAAATGGAAGGCCTGTAGTGTTTATTCTCTTACAGTAACAATTTATCCATTTTTTTGAGGAATTTATTAGAGATTTTTTGGTTTTTATCAACTGTGCAATAGAAAAATAATCATTAGATTAATTTTCTAAATAGTCATTAGAATAGTCGACTATTCGATAAAATAATCGTCAGAATAATCGTTTTAAAAATAATCGTTTACCCCCAGCCCTAGTGTAAACATGTAATTCCATAATTCAGTTCTTTGACCAGGTATGTTTAAACCATGTAGTCAACCTGTGGTGTCAAGCATGTTATTTGTTTCTTTAGTTTGGTTCTTTGGCACCAGATGTCCTTTTCAATCACAAAAAGAGATGACATGGAGAGGACAAGAAACACTGATGATAGGTTAAACACGAGAGTTTCATTGTTGAAATATCTTAGTATTTCATTGTTGTTGAGAACTGTTTGTTCTTGAATGGCTTATTAATTTTTGGAACTTGCATCAGTAAACATCAAATTGAAGATTTCTTTAGGCGGTGAGCTTTCCAAAAGCATCAGCACAGTGTACTCCATCTGAGTCTGCTAGAAGGTGATTCTTGCAAGGGTTTGAATTTGCTGCAGGTACAAGCTGTGCAGCTAAGCAGAGCGCAGCACTCCGTCATCATCGCTCCGTTTCCCAGACACCATCACTTTTACCATTCTGCTATTATTTGTTTTTATTAATAGCTCTGCAAAGTCAAGCAGAAGTGAAAGCCAGGCAAAGGGTGCTCTCGATATTTAACAAATGCAGCAAGAAAACAAACAGGAAACTTTTGTTTATGTGGAAATACAAACAAGTGACAATATTTTAACTTTGATAAGTACTATCAGTAAATGCAGGCAGACAAGTCAAGTCAGCTCCACGAAGATTTCCTACTTCTGGTGTCTGTCAGTCTTCCTGTTCCTTTCTTGGTCTCTGACTTAACAACACAGGCCAGAAAGGTGTGGCCACCCTCATTGCTGTTATGATTGGCTGGTAGCCTGGGTTGTGTTATCTCCTGTCAAACATGCTGTTGTCCCACCCCAGATAGGGCCTGGCATTACACTTAGCCCGGCCCACTCTCAGTTACATCACAACCTGTGGAAAGAGCCTTGCATTTTTGCTTTCTCTTTACCCTGAACGGGCAGGTAATGCTGCATTGAAGGAGGTGTCATGTTGCCTCGTGAGTTTCACCTCTTTGAGAAACTTTAGAGACCGTGTGTGTGTTTTAGTGAGTATGGGCCTGCAGATATATGCCCCGATGCAGTGTAATTGTAGCTCCGCTGCATGCCAGTAAACACTCGACACAGGCACTGGACTCTTTTGCCTGCTTCTCTGTAAATGGGGCAGATCGAGCAGACGGGTCGTTTGTGTGGCTGCATGGTGCGGCACAGGTGTTCTTACTTCTCACCAGAGTGAGAGATCTTTAAAAGTTCCGCTAAAATGGATTTTCTTAAGAGCCTGGTTCCAGCCGTGATCTCAGGGGAGGCACCTGTTGAACATGGGGTAATCTTACCCAAAGAGTCGGGTCCACGACTCCTTCGCATGAAAAGACTGGGTCTGCTCACCATGGGACAGACCATCGAAGAAGATCCAGTAGACCCAGTGATTAAAGTTCATTCAAGAATGAGCTCCTCCAGACCTCAAACCCGCGTCAAAGGTACCGAAAGCACTTATTAATGGTGGGTTAACTGGGTTGACCCAGTTGTTGCTGTATAGGTGCCTTTTGGAAATGACAGAGTAGATCTCTACTTGTATGTAATTAAAATAGTTTGATGCTGACTGAGTGTGTGTAGACATTACCACAGTACTGAATGCAACTTTGTAGTACTGTATTTTATTTTCTGATTACCACCAAGTTAGATTAGCTTTGTGCTCCACCAAAGCCTAAATGTCAATTTGTCTTAGGTGTGTGTCCTGCTCTGTGTTTGATAATGCAAACACAGACATAGAAACGTTGCAAAATAGCAAGACTGTTAAATGGCTGCTCAGTCTCAGCTGGATTAAGACAAATCTTCAAAAGGAAGGCATAGTTGGTTTAAATAACCACCTTGAGTAAGCTTTAAAAGCAGTTATCAGCACAAAGTAATCAAGAATTTAGATTCAGTTTATCTACTTATATTACTCATTTCATAAGATTTCGAGCATTGCTAAAGGAGTTTTTCAGAGTGGGGTTATGTCAGAAGAAGGAACAATGGTCATCTGATCATCAGACCCAATCTTGAAGTGAGTGCCAACAAAACATGTTTGTTTGGTTAGCTGGCCCCCTCCTCAAACTAAAGACTTGTCCAAATAATAAACAGCAATCAGACAAAGTGGAGTTGGAGCCCTAAAAGACGTAGGAAGGGTGCTGAAGAGTACTGAGTTCAGTCAGGTTATTACAAAGAAAATAAACCTGTAAAGTAAAAAAAAAAAAAAAAAAGATGCTTACAGTAATTAGCAGAAAATAGTCCTTTAGTATTTTTTATTTAATATTATTTAAGTGATTTCATGCAATGTCAAACTGCACATAAAGTATTTGAATTGTTCTCCATTTGTTTAATGAGTTTGAGACATCAAGATTTCAGTTAAAACTTCTCTGCGGTTTTAATTTACAAGTGGCTGAGCTCTAAAAGAATCATGGCTGCTGACACTGTTTTCAGCCCTTCTGTTTACTGTCAACACGCGTTTTCCTCAACTAAAAACAGTAAAAGTTGATCATATCAGAACTTTGCTTTTGTTCTGCGTAGCACCTTGCTGCTCGTCGTGTTCCAGAGTTGGGTAGAAAACTCAAAAAGTCATTCTTATGTCCCCCACACCGTGAACTATGAAAAGTTGTGTTAATATCGGTGTTTGCCATCTTACCCACAGGTTTTAAATTGAATAACATGTACATCTGTTTAAAAATCAAATAATCTAAAATGTTGGTCTGCCATGACAAATCAACTTCCTAATCTTTTAAAGATGAAGACTGAGTTTTTCCTGTGCTGAAGGACGCACTGAAAGCAAGCATTGAAGCTCCTTTGCAAAGCATTTGAAAAGGTTAATCTACTCTTAACGGGGCTGCCATCGGATACTTCCAGGTCACCTAACTCAGGAACCATCAAAGAAAAAATCACTTCAAAACCCCTTTGGTTCTATTTTGTTGTTTGTTTTGCCCACATGCAATAAAATGGTTCTTGTCATGCACATGATGCATAAAAAGGATGTGATATAAAATCAAAATAGAACCTGCTGTTATCTCATTAAGGTTTAATTAATGCTGGATTATGTTGACTATATTGTCTCTAGGTACATTTTAAAATGGCAGCACATTTGGTGTTTGTACTCTTCTTCGTTTAAATTGGCCAGTAAGAATTTGTGTAGATGTAAAGGTAATAGAACAATAAATCTATATTAATTAGGATCATAGTGTTCATCTTTGTGAGTCACGTTTGGTGGGAGATTTGTATCTGATAATCTATTATTCTGTTGCATTCTGACGCTTTTCAGAGAGCACGAGTTAAGAGTAGAAATAGTTTTAGTTGAGGCAGCAGCTAAAGGCTTACATGCATGCACACATACATGTTTATGTAGGTCAAGACCATTGAGTTTGATGCAATAAGATGATAACTTTCATCAGTATCTCCAAATCTGTTTTGCTGTGCTACCTGTCGGAGCATGCTGGCGTACCTGTTTGCTCGTGGCTAAAGCATGACTCAAACTCCTGCTAAACTCACCGTACCTGTTGGTATCTGAGTAAAGAACTAGTCAGGCTAACCACAACAACCCACATAAACACACTTTACTTTAGAGCTTTTGAATCTGTTCAGTTAGTATTTAGTCTTAACAGTTAATTTGAGGTAATTATTCAGTTTTTATTTTAGAATTTTTGATTTGGGTTTTTAATACTGATCATTGTTAGTTGCATAATTTTTTTTTCTGATGACCAATATAAAGCAATATATAGTGTGCGTGTGTGTACACACACGCACACACACACACGCACATATATATATATGTATGTATATATGTGTGTGTGTGTGTGTGTGTGTGCATGTATGTAAGGGCTGCATGGTGGCACAGTGGTTAGCACTGTTGCCTCGCAGCACGAAGGTTGCAGGTTCGAGACTCGGCTGCGACCTTTCTGCGTGGAGTTGCGTGTTCTCCTCATGCGTGCGTGGGTTTTCTTCCGGGTACTCCGGTTTCCCCCACAGATCACGACATGCCCTATAGGTTATAAGTTGTAAGTCGCTTTGGATAAAAGCGTCTGCCAAATAAATAAACATAAACATATATATATATACATACACACACACACATCAGTGATGCACCGATATGGCATTTTGGGGCCGATACCAAGATCTGATATTAAGATCACTGTTTTGGCCGATAACCGATATTTGTCGATATCGATATGCTGACATTAATGATTCTAAAATCAGCAGATTTTGTATAGAATGAAAATGATTAAAGTTGAATTTACATTATTATGTACACACAACACACACATTTATGGTTCTGAGATGATTTCATTCACTGTTCACTTGACTAAACAATCACACATCACCCCCCTCACCCTCTGAAACAGGCAAACAAATGGAGACGAGATAGAAAAAAAAAATCGGTTGTTAATATCGGCCCGGTTGTATTTATGGAACCGATACCGATATGTTAAAAAATGACTAACATGGGCCAATACCAATATTGATGCCGATGCAACAAACAATTGTTTGGATCATCGATGAAGAGCAACGTATTCCTCCGGTGTCCGTGAGGGCACACGGTGTTTGGTAGGGTTCCTCCTACGTCCGTCACAGCGGTGGGTGGGGTTTGAGCAGGTGCGCTTTACCAACTTTCGGGGAGGTTTGTTACTGGAGAACCATTCGTTCGTGAATGTCACATCACTACTGGGTGCACCCCTCCCCCATACTTGCTCTGTCTCGCGGAGGAGCTAATTTGTGTGCATCTGTGTGAAACACGCATAAGAAAGAGAACGGCAGAAAAAACGTGTGTGTGTGTGTAAATAAATAAATAAATAATTGGAGAGCATCAGTTATTTTAAAGAAGTGGCCTTTTTTCTTTTTTCATAAGTGACATTATTGAGTAAAGCATTGTAAGCTACAATGTGATTCCCACATGACAGAGAAACTAAGACATATTTAAGACAGTGAAGTGCTATTTTCTCAATAAGCTAGGAATGGCATTTGAGGTGGGGCCTTCTTTCTGTTTAGCACTCGTCTTCAGTTTTTACTAGGATGGCCTGCATGCCTGCATGAAGAAAAACGCAGGAAAAATATTACTAAAGTCACAATTTTTGTACATGAATTTTTCTACTGATTCGCCATTTATTTGGAGTTTTCTACCGTACTGATATTTTTGATATTTTAACATAATCAATACATAAATTATTAGATTTTAAATAGTTGGAATGTTAAAAGCACATGTTCCAGATCTTTATAATGCTTTATATGATAGAACCAGGTTCAACTATTTAGGTCAAACTTATTGTGAATCTTTCACTTAAAAATACTTTGGTATTATTATTTCATTACAAAACCCTTTTCCAATAATGGGGGAATACAAAGTGGGCAATACTGATGCAGCTACATGGTGTTTGTTACTGCTTTTTGTTTACTTATGTAAGTTTGTCAGTTTTATTAGATGACACGTAATATGCAGACTCATGAAGGGTTGGAAGTTTAAACCATTTCATTTTCATATTTCCTCTCTGTTTTTCTAACGAATGCTGATAACTGCGAGCTACATTCACATATAGAATCTGTTGTTTATTTCAGTTTGTAGTACGTATTTTTGTCTCTGTTTCTTTAGATAGAACTTGGAGCCTAAATATCTCACCTCCAGCTCAGGTCAACTGCTACTGAGATGTTTACTGACTGGTTACAGGCATGACCTCAGACACACCCACCAATTCTCACACCTTCATGTTGTTTCATAACATATAAATACATTTTTTAAAAACAACTTTGGCAACATTTTTGTTTATACTGGGTTGCATATTAAAAAATTAAAAAAATTGGAGCTGTTACATAAATTGGAAGGATTAAAATGAGCGTTGGATCTCACCAACAACCTTGGGTTTTATGAACTCATTCACTGCCAGCTGTTTCCTGATCGCTAAAGGCCTTCGCTGCCAACGTTTCTCACTGTTTTTTTAAGAGTGACAGAACGTTGCGCACTAGGATGATGTCGACGCCAAAACAACTAAAACAAAGCGGAGACTCACCTCTTACATCAGGAAGGATCCCCGTGTTTCGAGCTTTATCCGTTCTTTCGTAATCCGCTGTCGAATTGTGATCGGCAGATGCTTTTCCGGTTCGCGCCTCACTTTTTTTTACAGCAGCGTCCCAAAACGATCTCCTAACACATGGATGTTCTGCTTCCTGATCATGTGACGTGTGACGTATGCCGATGAAGATCGGCTTCAGAGCTGAGATGTTTGTTCTCTCGGCGCGGGGGCTCGTTCCGATGCCCAAACAGTAAAAAAATGCAGTGAACGGTTGGATCTAAAATGACGACTTTAGTTATCAGTGGCAGTGAATGAGTTAAAGCTATCATGGTATTTAAAGAATTCTTTTAGTGTGGGATTTCTCAGATTTTGATGGTCCGGTAAACAAGTATAATTGGCCTTGTAATAACGTTTTTCTGATCTCTTCATGTTAGACGTTTTATTTGGGACTA